GATATAAACACGGTCACACCAGCAAATATCAGAAAGAAATACAGGTTAAAGTTGAGTGACTTCTAGATGGGGAAAGAGCAATTAATCATGAAAGTTACGCACTTAATCAGAAACCTAACAACTTCTGAATGACAAAGGATGAAGTAAAAGTTAAAAGGTCAGAATATCTGCAAGAAATACGACACTTCCTGAGCAAACTAGGCCCCCTTTCCCTGTCTTGTTTGTTCTCGCGAGACAAGCACACGATTCGTCTCTCACTGAGGTTTCTTTACACAGGGCTGAGTCTGGGGTTTGAAGACGAGGAGAAGAATGGTGAGTTTCCTCTTAATCTTGACTATTTCCTGAATCCTAGATTTCATGATTCTAGAAAGGCCTTCATGGTCATCAAGACAAAGAGTCAAATTAACTCCAGTAAAGAGTCATCCATGCAGACCAGAATTCTAGAATGCTTACCTGAACATTCCCAAGGGTGATTCCCATTTTAATTTTATTATTTTTTTAAATTGTGGTTTGGATGATAGTTTACACAACAAATGAGTTTTCCATTCAACAATTTATACGCGTTTTGTTTTGTGACACAATTTGCGGTTCCCTCAGTGTGACAAACAGAACTCTTTCGTCTTTCTCCCGCTTTTCCCATTTCCATCTGTCCTTCTTACCTGCCCCTTCCTGCCCTCTGAGCTTTGCTCTGTGGAAAGCACTGCCTTTTTGGGCTCCTCTGGTTCACTGATCTGAGAAGCATGTTCCTCAGGGGTGTTAGAGTCCACCTTAAAGGCCCTTCTGTTATTTGGCTGCAAGGTGATCCTTGGGGGTGGCTTCAGTTCCAGGCTTGGATGGTATCTAAAGACCCAGTCTCCAGGGTTCCACAGTATCTGCAAGGTGAGTACATATGGTCTTGGTTTCTTAGATTTTGTTCTACATGTTTCTCCCAGTCAGTCTAGAACCTTCTGTGGTCCCTATCAAAGGAAGCAGTGGTAGCTGGTGTTATCTAGTCTTTCTGATCTCCAGGTACTGAAGGCTGAGTTTCATATGATCTTTATTACTCGTTTGGATGAATCATTTCCACTCGTAAGAATAATTCTTCTGAAGAACCAACCCAAAGTGCAAACCAAGCGCATTGCCATGGGACCCAAACTCTATTCACAGAGAAGAGAACAGACTAGAGTTGCCCCACACGGTTTCTGAGGGATCTTCACAGAAACCAACTGCTCCATCTTCCTGCCCTGAAGTGGCTGGTGAGCTCAAATCAACCAACTTCCCATCAGCCATCAAGTGCTTGCTTAATCACTGCTCCACTAGTGCTTCTTTAAGGAGACCCAGGGATGAGAGACAGCATACCAATGATTACACAGCAAGATACCAGCAGGGATGTCAGAGTAACGCGGAGAACTGAAGCACTCGGATGCTTAGAAGCCAGGATGGAGACAGCCTAGATGCCAACCAGCAGAGGAATGGCTCAACAAACTTTGGTTCATACACACAATGGAACACTACTCAACAATGAAGAATAACAATGCATCTGCAAAACACCAAGTCACGTGAAGAAACCTGGGGACATTATACTAAGTGAAATTAATCAGTTGCAAAGGGACACATATTGTATGAGACCACTACTGTGAAAAAAATGCAGGAAACGTTTTCATTCTACAATAATTTTTTTATAATGATGACTGTGGATGGAAGGGAAGGAAGAATTACTCACTGGAGAGAGTATAGACACATGCTAACTTGAGGGATGGGGAAGCATTTAAAAAGAAAATGAAAACAGAAGAAATAAATAGGAAATTGCTTTCTTCATTTTTTTTTTTTTTTCTTTCATGTACTGGAAGGGAAACGATGTGTGTTTATATTCTCATTAGGGCAAACCATTGGGAACTTTTCCACAAATGAAAAAAGGGAAATAAAACAAGGGAGAGAGAGAGAGGGAAAAAAAAGATTTGGAAATGGGTAGTGGTGGTAGTTATGTAACATGGGAGTGTGGGTGGTGTGGCTGGATTGGACATGCACAAATAATTGAAATGACAAATGTTTTGTTGTATATACATATATACACACTGCCACAATAAAAAAAAAATAACAATAGGAGGAAAAAAAGAGTCAATCGACTTGGTGGCATTTAATAACAATGACAATATTCCACCATTGATATTGCTAAGTATAAATTTCATTCCCCAGACTTGCTAGAGTGAAAAAAGAGCTCTTAGAAAGAGTTGAAGAGGCTCTGATGTTTCCATTTGGCCCACCTCCGAAGTTCCTACATCTTGTGGTTTCATTGCTCTAGTTTCAGGTGCCATAGAGTGTTCTCTGACGATAAAACAAGGCCTGGTCCAGAGCCATCCTCACAACTGTCGTTACATTTGAGCCTTTTGTAGTTGTCTCTGTGCTAACCCATCTCTTGGGACGTGTACAAAACCATTTCTGCTGCCATCCATGTTCTGGTGTGTCTGCTTGTTCAGAAGTTTTAGACCTGACATTAAACACACTTAGTTGAATGTTGTTGTTGTTGTCATGTACTATGGAGTCGGTTCCGACCCATAGCGACCCTGTACAGGGTTTCCGAGGCTATAAATTTTTATAGGAGCAGAAAGCCTCATCTTTCTCCCGTGGAATGACTGGTAGTTTCAAACTGCCGACATTGAGGTTCGCAGCCCGACTCCTAACCACTATACTACCAGAACTCCTTAGTTGAATAGATATATTTAAATGATTGTTGTTGTTGTTGTTAAGTGCTGTCGAGTCGGTTCCGACCCATAGCGACCCTTGTACAGGGTTTCCGAGGGTGTAAATCTTTACGGGAGTAGAAAGCCTCATCTTTCTCCCGCGGAGCAGCTGGTAGTTTCGAACCGCTGACCTTAAGGTTCGCAGCCCGATTCGTAACCACTACGCTACCAGAGCTCCTTCATTTAAATGATTAGGCTTCCATATATTTTGCTCTCTGTGACCTGAGGATATGTTAAATTAACAGAGGAAGAAGGCGTCAGAAACAGGAGGAGGAAATGAAAGGCCCAGTTAATAGTCTCTATGAACAATTGTCTCCTTACAATGAGACCAGAAGAACTTGATGGTGCCTAGCTACCACGACTGACCATCTTAACCAAAGGTTCTATAGAAGAATCCTGATCAAAAGAGAAAATGCAGAAATGAATTTCAAATGCTCATGGAATCCAGACTTTCTGGATCCATGGAGGCTGGAGGAACCTTTGAAGCTATTGCCTTTAATCTTTAAACAAAATTACCACTGAAGTCTTCTTTAATCCGAGCAACAGTTTAGCTAGTAAAGAATGTTTCCCTTGAGCACTGTGCTCTTTTAAGAACATGGGATTCAATTGACAACAGCAGTTCAAAAATCAAACAAACATCTTCATTCTCCAGCGCTGCTATAACAGAATTGCCACAAGTGGCTGGCTTTAACAAACAGAAACATACTCTCTCACAGTTTAGAAGGTTAGAAGTTCGAACTCAGAGCAGTGCTGGGTCTGGAGAATGGTCCTTGACTCGTTTCAGCATCTGTAGGCCCAGCATTCTCAGAGACCTCCATGTGTCTTGGCATCCTCTTTCCTCTGGATCTGGGACCTTCACCATGCCCAGAGCTCAGCTCCAAAGGATGCTTTCCACTCCGGGCTCTTCTTTCTTGGTGGGTCCCCCTCTACTCACCTCTCTCTCCTTTTATATCTCAAAAGAGATTGGCTCAAGATACAGGCTCATCCTGTAAATTACATCTGACTACATTAACATCATGTTGTTATTGTTGTGACGAGCCATCGAGTTGGTTCTGACTAGTAGCGACCCTGTATAGGGTTTCCAAGGAGTGGCTGGTGAGTTTGAACCGCCGACCTTGCAGTCCAGTGCTTATCCTACAGCATCACACCAGGACTCATAGACGTGAGGAATTACATAGCACAAAGATCAAGGCCGCCGATCCCATCAGATCCCATCATGAGGTTATTGTATTATATTAGATCTTGTCATGGGGCTGATGACACCTGAACCACTGAGAATCCTGAGCCCGTCAAGTTGACAACCTCAGCTAGCACAGTAGGAACCTTGGGGGGCCGTGAGTTACTGTGAATGGGGAAAGGACAATTCAGAAAAGGAGGTGAGGCTGCTTGTACAACTCGAAGAATCGATGTCACCAAACTGTGAATGTAGAAGCTATGATAGATATTTTGCTGTGCATATTCTCAGCAACAGAAAAAATTAAGAAAACCATTTAAAAAGAAACCTACAAATCGTGCTCTGTTTTGCTCCCTTTTTCCTCTTCTCTAGCTCACTCTCTGCCCTTCGTTTCTATAAAAACACTCAGCTTCGCTGAAGTCCCTCCTAGTTTCTGCTCGAAGGTGTGCTTCCATCCATGGATCTTTTCTTGTTGTTAGATGCCATCTGGTTGGTTCTGACTCATAGCGACCCTGTGTGCAGCAGAATGCAACTCTGCTCAGTCTTTCGCCATTCTCACTGTTGTCATATTTGAACCCACTTTTGTTGCCACAGTGTCAATCCACCTAATTGGGGTTCTTCTTCTTTTTCTCTGACCCTCCACATGACCACACATGATGTCCTTCTCCAAGGACCGCTCCTTCCTGACAACACGTCCTAAGTCCTAGGATGAAAGCCTCATCATGCTTGCTTATTCAGAACATTCTGGTTGTACTTCTTCCAAGACAGATTTCTTTGTTCTTCTGGCACTCCATGGTACTCTCAATATGTTCTCCAACACCAGAATTCAAATGCATCAATTCGTCTCTGGTCTTTTTTTATGCAAAGACCAACTTTCACCTGCATATGAAGTGATTGAAAAAAAACAAAACAAAAAAACACACAGTGTGAGTGAGTCAGGAGCACCTTAGTCCTCAAAATGACATCTTTGTTCTTGAACACTTTAAAGAGGTCTTTTACTGCAGAAGGGATCTTTTAGAGACCAAATAACCTCTGTGAAATCAACCTCATCACAAAATTTCTTAACATTGTACTATGTATGGTCCACATCTTGTTGGTCCGTTCATATGTGGAGGGATATTAACTCTGAATTCTTTCCAGGGACACTTCCCAGGCCCTTCTTCAGGGCCTGGCCCACCTCAGTGGTCGAAAGAGAAAGCAACGTGACTCTGAAGTGTGGCTCTCCATTCCAGAGAGCTGCCTTCAGGCTGGGGAAGTTGAACAGCACTGGGTCCAGGCAACAGCTCATGAGCTCATCCGGAAAGGATGCTGAACTCCTCCTCACAGACCTGCAGCCTCAGGATGCTGGGAGGTACTTTTGTACCTACAAGACAACAGCCTCCCAGGGGTGGTCAGAGAGTGAACATCTACAGCTGGTGGTCACAGGTAAGAAGGAAGCTCCTTGACACGTACCTTTCCTTCTATGGCACTTGGCTGGGAAAGAAGAAAGAATCTAGTGTTGAGTAAAAACAAATCTGACTTTGATGAAAAGAGACTCAATTCAGAAAGAAAGAAGGACATGGAGAGAAGGAGCAGCTGAGGACTGTAAACTTGTGGAAAGAGAAAGACTGAGTGCTGGTGGCCAGGAGGCAGGCTTGCAGGATGTGCTCTTTGCTTGTTGGAATGATTATATATTCCTGAGAGTTTTGGTGTACATTCCCCCCCCCACACACACACACCAAACAAAACAAAAAAAAACACCAGAGGGAATAGAAGCAAATGCTGTTGAATGATGATGCATGGAGGGAATTGTAATCATTGCAATGAAACAATAAGCGTAAAACTGATGTTCTCCCATGTAAACTATCACTCAATCACAATAAAAAACTTTAAAAAAAAAGGAAAAGGGGGAAAGGAGTTACTATAAAGTAGTGGGGGATTCTTTGTAATTGGGACACTCTGCCCATTAGATCAGCAAGTGTCTCAAAGGGTTAGTACTTACTGATATAAAGCCTGAATGTAAGCCAAACCCCAATCCTGTCGTGTCAATTCTGACTCACAGCAACCTTGTAGGACAGAGTGGAACTGCCCGTAGGGTTTCAGAGTCTGTAAATCTTTGTGGGAGCAGACAGCCTTATTTTTCCCCTATGGAGAGCCTGGTGGGTTTGAACTGCCAACCTCCAATGCTTAACTCACTGTGCTACTAAGACTCCTGAAAATAAACAAGACTAGAAAAAATCTAGGTGTGAGGAGCAGAGATGAAGAAATGAAACCATGGACTGGTCAATCACAATGTTTTAGACAGACAGGGGGACAAAAACAGCAAAACACCAAACTGGTTGCCTTGGTGTTGATTCTGGCTCATGTGTGTCAGAGTAGAAATGTCCTTCATGAGGTTTGCAACAGCTTACTTTCTAGAAGTAGATCACCAAGATGTTCTTTTGAGGTGCTGCTGAGTGGATTTGAACCACCAATCTTTCGGTTAACAGCCCATTGAATCAGTAATCATTTGCATTCTCCAGAAGGGACTCTTAAAGAAAACTAGAATGTTGGGCCAGAGTTCTTGACTAGTGTAAATGATTGATGAGCTCAGCTACTAGCCAAGAGGTTGGAAATTTGGACCTCAAAAGAAAGGCCCAATGTTCTACAAAAGCCAGCGATTGAAAACCTTACGGAGCGCAGTTCTATTCTGACACACGTGAGGTTAGCATGAGTCAGAATCAACTCCATGTCAACTGGTTTACTAGTATGTTGGTTCAGGCTGAGAGAGTGGACCAAAGCTTCAGTCTTGAAAGAAGGAGAAAAATGTAATCAATATTTGGTTAAAACACCTCCCTCCCCCCCTCCCCCAATTAATCAGTGGGGACAAGAAATTTAGTTATTCCTTTATGAGGCAAGGACTAGGAATCTGGAGCCCTGGTGGCATGGTGGATCAAGCACTGGACTGATCATTGAGAAGTCAGAAGTTCAAACTCACTAGTCGACCTACAGGAGAAAGATGAAGCTATCTGTTCATCTGTAAAGATTGACAGTCTCAGGAATCCTGTGGAGCAACTCTACTGGGTCCCAGAGAGTCGTTGTAAGTTGAAATCGACCCAATAGCAGTGTGTATTTTTGGAGTCTGGCCTTGTCCTAGGCAAACAAGGTGGCGTTGGCAGTTCAAACGCTCCTTGGGAACCCTGTACAGAGTCACTATGAGTCGAAACCGATCCATTGACCTTAAAAACTACAGCAGCAACTACGTGAAGTGTGGTTATTTTTAGTAAGCCTTTTTCATGAACACAACGGTGGGGAGATTTCTCAAACCATTAATATTTTCTTGTATCACAAGGTTCAGGTGGTAAAAGTCAACCTCACTAGGAAGCCAATGTAGGGAACTGGGGAAGCAGGGGCAGAGTGTGAGGACGTGTCGCTCATTGGGAATTCGTAGTGGATTTCAATGGTACGGATATGGGAGAAATGGATGAGTGAGCTCCCAGGTACAGGGGAGGATGAGAAGCTTGGTCCAGCCCATCCATTGACCTCCATTGCCTTATTCACTGCAGGGTCTCTCCCAAAACCTTCCCTCTCCTTCACCTTGGACCCCAAGGGCCACAAAGTCACACTTCAATGTCTGATTCCATACAATGGAACTGAACACATAGCTACTGCTCTGCTGAAATCAGGTCACTCGGAGCCATTACAAGTCAAACTAAGAATTACCCCAGCGGATCTTGTCCTCTGGACTGTGACCATCCAGGACACTGGCAACTACAGCTGTGTCTACTATCAGTGGGACTTTCCATACTTGGGCTCCTTCCCCAGCAGCAGACTGGAGTTCCGGATGAAGGATGAAGGTATGGAATACCACTAACATTAGGCATTTACCCACTTTCTATGTTCATCTCTAAATTAAATAATTTCCCACTCTGTCCTACTTTCTCAATGCTGCTTTAACAGAAATACTACAAGTGGGCTTG